AAAGTTCAACAGGAATGCAGATTGGCTATGCCCTGGCCCCCTTTTTTGGGCGACTGTTTTTTTGTGGCATGATGTGCCCACTACAAACTTTACACGACAGGCCCTAGATTAAACGTATTCATCCGATCATGGATTGATCATGGGGAACGATTTCGTTCAAACAGGGAACATGCCAGATCGAACATCACCGCGATATTGAGGTCCAAAAAAACTCATTGAACTGACGGTCTATACTGTACTACTCTCTCCATCCCACAATATGAGATCGTTTTTCAAGCTATGTGAGCTTGAAAAACAATGTTATGGTGTGGGACGGAGGGAGTAGTTGTTAAATAAATATTTTTAAAAATTCTAGTTATTAATAATCACCTGAACCCAAAGTTAAGGCTTGGATGCTCTTTCTTTTTAGATTAAAAGGGCATCATCCCGGCTTCATTTCATTAAAATGAAACCAAACAATTTTAGATGACCGAGCATGCAAGCAGGCTGACATGTCAACCACAACGGAGAACTAAGTAAAAGAAACTATAACAAGAAAAATAAGCATTCCCATAGATTAAATAGGGGAATATGTGAAAGTCATCTTCTGCTCGTGAGCTCAAATGAGTTCCGATGAATAGCAAAATAAAATAAAAATCATTAAATTTCAGAATTTTTGTGTGCGAATGTTGGCAAATGTTTTAAGTCCTTACAAAGTTCCATCATGAAATGACATTTGTGTAAGTGATGGCAAAAAAACAATACTCCAAAATTCTTTAAAAAATAACACTTTTGCAGAATCGATTTGTTTATTTTTGCCACGACCTTCATGAATGTAATTTCATGTTGAAATTTTATGAGCACTCAAACATTTGTCAATGTTTGCCAAAAAATCAGATTTTTTTTCTTGGAATTTTCTGTTTACCCAAGCTCATTTGAGCTCGAGTTTAGAAACACCATGGAACATGCTACATTACTAGAGTCATAGACATGACCATTGTAGACTCACAAACAAAGCATGGGATCTCATGTCAGCAACACAAGCCCAACACATTTAAGCTCCACGTGCACTCTTGAGCCAAACGTTATCTTCAATCAGACAGTGAGAGGATTACTGTGCACACTTCACTAACCTAGCAATGGTGGATTCCAAACAACTACATTTTTTTAACACTGGACTGTAGAACAATTGTTCTATGGTAATTATATATATAAAAGTAATATGTACAAATCAAGCAAGTATAAAAAAGAATAATCATCCCATGCAAGTTCTTAGTAACATGATCAATAAACTACAAGTGGCTATCAATCCAAGTGTGTAACTTCTAAGCCTTTGTTGGCCCAGCTCTGATTGCAATAGTAGAAATGCCCTCCTTCAAGTAATGGAGCCAATTAAGAATGTGAGTGACAGCTTGTCTAAAGATCTTGTCATTTCTGATGGACCAAATACCCAGGAGCCAATGAGAATAATTTTTAGAGGACGACAGGCCTAACAACGACGACGACTACAACCACTATCCAATCAGCATGTATCCGACCACATCAATGTAGGTGGGCTCCTGGCCAGTGCCCATATATAATGAACTCGTGATATCCAACGTGCGCTCTTTTGCAAGATCTGGGCATAGAATTTTCCATTGAGAGCATGCTACAGATATGCCTCGCAGAACTACCTACACACCAAGCCATGAAAATGTGTTAAAGCGGAGTTCATTTTTATGCTTCCAAAGAGCTCGTAAGGTTGCAACATGAATAAGGTGAATTGCTTGATGCTTTTGGTACTAACCACCACTTAGCAATGTATTCAAAGTCTACAGTAGCATAAGTTCCAGAGAGGGCGTTAATATATCTCCATACTTCTTTAACAACAATACAAACAAAGAACAAATGCATGCAAGTTTCCTCTTCATTACACAAGAGGCAGGACAACTCGAAATTTTTGCTCTTAGCTAGGTTACCTCTCTAGTGAGTGACTTATTATGAGCTAAAAACAAATAAATATGTAAATTTTAGGAGGGACATTTAGCTACCGAACATCAGGGATATGCATAGGAGTTATTCCTCTAAAATTTCACCACAACATACAATGATCTAATAGTATAAATACCATTGGATTCAAGCTTCCAAATAACTGCATCTGAATCATTAGTGAACTAAATAGACCCAGCAATGTGAACCAGATCAAACCACATAAGAAGCAACCAATTGTTTACACATCTCCTAAAGGTGATTTTAAGGTTAACACCATCTCATGCATCAGCAATGGTGATGTTTTTCTCAGGCCCAGATGCTCTTTCAACGCAGAGGTGCATTCAAGGTGGAGTTAAATTGCACCCTAATCGTGTAAGAAGACTAAGTTGGTGGAGTTAATAGTTCACAAGATCGCCACATGCACCTCTATTTTGACATTTGTCACGTAAAACTAAAAGAAATTCAATTTAGCTATACATAAGTCGCCTGAAAAATTGATTTTAGGTCAGTTGATTTTTGGGCCTTTCATTTCTGCATCAAGATTCGTGCATCTTTTTTTCTACGTTAGCCTGTGTGGTGGCTTTGACTTTTCCGACTGACCATTAAGTCTGTCAATTCTTTAAAGGGCTGAAGCCCATTCCTGTGCGAATATAGCCTTCTTTTTCCTCCTTTGTTTTTTCTGTTTTGTGCTTTTGTTTTTGTTTTTTTCTTTCCTTTATTAGTTGTTTTTTATTTTATGGGCATTTTTTGGATGTTAAATGAGTGTAAATATATACATATAAATACTATCTAATATGTGCCAAAATTTCAAAATTATATGATATTTTTTTTGCATATTACAAAAAGTGCAATTTTGGTGCAAATTTGTGTGCAAGTTTTTATTATTAAATTTTATTTCTTCTTAAAGGGAATACCTACACCACTAATTAATACCCCTTTTTATGAAAATTCATTATTTTGATATAGTTTTAGTCTTTATTTTATTTTCATTCTACTTTAAGGGTAATACTAATGCCACTGATTCATTCGTTCTTAGATTTGTTTTGCAAAAGTTACATTTTATATGCTATATTTTTAAAAGTGCATTTTTGTGTGTGTTTGTGCAATTTTCTCACTGTTTGTTTTAGTTTTTCCCCCTTATTTTCTTTCTTCATAAATGGTAGCACAAATGTCACTAATTCATTACTTCTTAGTAAATATTTTTTTTGTGAAATTCCCCTATTATATGGTTATTCTTGCATGTTATAAAAAATGCAACTTTTGTGTAAATTATGTGCCAATTTTATCACTATTTTCTTTTATTGTTTTCACTTCTCTTTCTTCTTAAAGGGTAGTACCAATGCCACTAATTCATTCCTTCTTGAAGACATTTGTGTGTGTGTGTAAGTATATATGCGAGTACTAAATAATATGTGTGTAAATTATAGTAGAAATATGAATGTTGCACTACTATATGTTTACTTTGCATACTTCGGAAAGTGCAATTTCAGTGCAAAGTTGTTCTCAAGTTTTGAAAGATTTTTTCTTCTTCTTAAAGGGTCCAATTCTTTCTTAGAAAAGTTCATTATTTTGATTTCATTTTGATTTTTTATTTTCTTTCTTCTAAAAGGGTAAAACCAATGCCACGAATTCATACTCCATAGAAAACTTCATTTAACTATTATCTTGTTTTAGTTTTAATTTCGTTTTTTCCTTTATTTTAGTTTTCATTTTCTTTTATTTTGTAAAGGTAATAGCAATGTCACTAATCCATTACTTTTTAGAAAACACTTTTTTTCACGGAAATCTCACTAGTATATGCTTATTTTCATCATAATAACACATTTTTGATATATACATATGCATATATGCATTGTATGCATGTATAAAACTAAATATACATGTATGAGATTGCAAATATAAAAAATAAATAACTCATTCCTTCTTACAAAAATTCTTTTTTGCATAAATTCCCCTCCTATATGCTTATTTTCGCATATGGTACAAATGTGCAATTTTTGTGTAAGTTGTCTGCAATTTTTTTCCGTTATTTTACGCATAACTAATTCATTCTCCATTTGAAAACTCCATTTTTTTTGTTCATCAACGGGCCATTGTTTTTCATTGGGCCCAAGAAGTCTTGTGAGCTTCTGTTGTTTTTGTATGCAAAAAGACTTAAGTTGTGCTATAACACTGAAATTGACTGACCACAATTTTGGTTCACTCAATTGGTTAGAAATCGACTGACCCAATTCTTAAAATCAGGCGACTGACCCGTAGCTAGCCCCAAAGAAATTTTAGGTTGATGGGATGGGATGCACAATCACAAACAGAATTATACACTGTAGTATTTACTATCTAATTTCGATGCACACACGGAAGATGGAAACAATGCATAGGATTACTGTCGGTGAATACTATGCATAGTAATTGATCGGCTACTTGACGAGTACTCTCTCCGTTCACAAATATAAGATGTTCTAGCTTTCTTGCATGTATATGGACACGTTTTAGTCTATTTGTTTACTCATTTCAATTTGCATGTAGTTTATATTGAAATATCTGAAACATTTTATAGCATACTTTATTTGTGAACGCAGCGAGTAAATCCATTGCATGCGATCACTGGATTTTGCTCTTGTTTTTACTACATCTAGATATATTCATTTCTACGACAAGTAATTCCGAACGGAGGGATTACGTACTAGCTATTTAATGGTTCAACCTCACGCACGCAATTGCGTGCAAATTGCATGTGGCCTGAACAAGAGAAGCCGGCACCGGGCCCTCGTTGTCTTACTCCAATTATTAAAGCGAACAAGATGATCCATATTAACAAGAGATACTCTATATATATCATGGTTGCCTTTTGCGGCATGATCTTCCTTTTCTTTCTTTTTGCGACACGACCATTATCTCCACAACTGGATCTTGTCACGGGATGCTCACTATACTAGCTAGATCCAAGGCCATTTGGACGTTGCAACGGTTGTGCACGCATGTGTACCGCAACTAGTTAGCGCTTGCTAACCAGATTCCCCGTAATCACTATACCCTCACTCTACACGATCTTATACCAGCCCGCCGGCGGCGCCGCCGTCGCCATTTTTGTGGACGGAGGACAGCTCGCATTCCTTCTCGTGGTCGCCGTCGTCTTCCGCCACCTCCAGCGGCTTCATGGTGTAGAAGTGGAAGCAGACGAGGTAGTAGCCAAGGTTGAGCACCATGAGGCAGGTGACGAGCCAGTAGTAGGCGTCCAGCCTGCCCCGGTTGATGTTGTCCTGGAGCCACTCGCCGCCGCCCCGCGTGGCGCTCTGCACCGCCGTCACCAGCACCGTGCCCATGTAGCTGCCGAGCGAGGCCGAGAGCCAGAAGAGCGCCGCGGCGGTGCTGCGCATGCTCTCCGGCGCCTGGTCGTACAGGAACTCCATGTGCCCCACCGACGAGAACCCGTCCGCCACGCCGTGGATGGCGTACTGCGGCACCAGCCAGAACACGCTCATCGGCACCACGGCGCCCGGGGCGTCCAGCAGCCCGTGGTCGGCCGCCGCGCCCCGGCGCTTGGCCTCGACCAGCGCCGCCGTGGCGACGCTGAGGATGGAGATGGCCAGCCCGACGGCCATGCGCTGGAAGTAGGTGATCCCGGCCGGCAGGCCCGTGAAGCGGCGCGCCAGCGGCACGAAGGCGCGGTCGTAGAGGCCCAGGGTGACGAGCATGGCGGTGGTGGTGAAGATGGACATGGTGGCCGGCGGGATCTGGAAGTGCTGGGTGACGTGGCGGTCCATGGTGCGCGCCTGCTGGATGGTGAAGCTGTTGTTGTGCGAGCCGGCGGTGACGAGCAGGATGCCGGCCGACCAGATGGGCAGCATGCGGACGATGGACTTGAGCTCCTCCACGCGGTGCACCGTCGACAGCCGCCACAGGTCCACCTTCCCGGCGCCGGCGGCGTCCCCCGGCGTCACGATCGCCGCCCGGTCGAAGAACCTGCACCAATTCACACGGCAACATGCAAGCGTCCATCAGACGAGCTCCGAAGCCGTACGTACGTGCACACGTGCGCGTCTCCATCGACGCTACGTGGAGGCGCGGTTTAAACTAAAGCAGTACGCGCTCTTGCTTTCTTTCTTTGTGCACTGATAATGTAACTGCCACCAAAAGCAGCCGACATGGCGAGCACAATCCGTGCACGCCGGCGCCGAGCCACACATGCACGATAAGCCAGCGATAACGAGACGGCACGGCACGGCGGAGGCACTTACGTGAGCTGGTTGGTGTGGAGGAGCCTGCCGTTGGTGGAGATGAGCGCGTCCAGCTCCTTGTCCTGGTACAGCATGCGGGGGTCCTCCGGCAGCGGGGCGCGCCGCTTCTTGTAGGCGGCGGCGACGACCTGCGCCAGCCGCGTGAACGGGCTGCCGCCCGGCTTGAGCCGGACGTAGAGCGGGTAGCCGACCACGAAGACCACGATGGAGACGAGCATGCCGATGGCCGGGATCCCGAACCCCCACCCCCACCCCACGTTCTCCTGGATGTACACCACCACCGTCAGCGCCAGCAGCACGGCGAACCCCATGGTGAAGAAGTAGAGGTTGAAGTACTGCCGCTTCTTCCCGGCCACCGCCTCCGTGTCCGTCCCACCGACGCCACGGCGCTCCTCCTCGTCCTGCTCCTGCTCCTGCGGGTCGAACTGGTCGGCGCCGAAGGCCACGACGCACGGCCGGATGCCGCCGGAGCCGAGGGACGTGAAGAGCAGCGAGACGTAGAGCACGGCGAGCTGCAGTCCGTTGGCGCGGCGGCACGGGGCCGCGGGAGGGGAGCAGGGCCGCGGCCGGAGCGACGGGAGCAGCGCGGAGACGACGAGGCCGAGCATGCCGAGCTGGTAGAAGACGGAGCCGGCGACGATGATCCAGAAGCGGCCGGCGAAGGAGTCGGCGGCGAGCGCGCCGAGGATGGGCGTGAGGCTGGACGTGCCGCCGAAGTTGGTGAGCGTGTTGGACGCCTCCACCAGCGGCAGGTGCAGCTGCTGCGTCAGGTACGTGATGAGGTTGGCGCCGAACCCCGCCGTGGCGAACCTGTCGCACACCTCGTTCACTGCCGGCACAATTTTGGACCGACGTAGCAAAAGCGATGAGAAGAGAATCAAAAGCTCATGCATGTATTGAATTGAAGTACGTATGTCCAATTGTTCGTCTACTCCAGTTTTTGCCAACTTGCCATCGTTAAATTTTGTTTCAAGTGCGACAAACTGGCAGTGGAAATTGGTGCGGAATTGTCGTCAAGAAGCTCAACTGCCAGCAGAAAGGAGAAGCAAGAAACCAACTACTCTACTCTAGAACGAAACAAAGTTACTGGCCAAATATCCAAAGACGGAGAGGCGTACGTCTTCGTACTGTGAAGAAAATCATATAAAATGCAAGTCGTCACAAGCGCTCTAGTTGGTAATCTTCGCTGGACGCGACCTTGAGTTGCCGCCCAAATCGGGAACTTTACAAGGTAGGATGGACTCTACAATGCTCGCTTGTTTCCTCAGATTATATTCATTCAGGAAGGATGCATCTACCGACAGCAGATGCTAGTGCTAATGCAAGCGAGCAGCTCTCACTCACCTAGTATGAAGGGCATGGTCTTGAAGCCGCCCTGCTTCCTCTTCTTCCGGCCCCCGGCCCCGTCCCTGCCCGCCGGCGGCGTGGTCGCCATGGCAGCGGCGCTACGGACGGCTATGTGATGAACGCTCGAGCTGCTGCTTGCTGCAAACAATGGAGGCAGAGGATGCGACAGTGGCCTTCACATGCCCCTACATGTGATGTGGGGATGTAGCCACGTATATATAGGTGCGACGAGGGAGGGAGGGGCAGCAAAGCATCGCAGCGGCCGACCACCCAACCTGTCACTGTGCACTGTTGGCTCAGACCAATTAACCCAGCGTACGATCTGGGATTTTGCTGGATTTTTTGAGAAAAAAAGAAAGGAATGCTGGCTGGCTGGCTAGGAAATGAAACGTGGTAGTGGTCTGGTCGTAGTGAGCATTATCCATTGTTAACGTATAACTTTATATAGCTAATCTCGTGTATTCTGTTTGCATACGGTTGTACATATACGCGTATAGGGTTTATTTCTTGGTCTCCAAGACTTGTAACTCTGCTATAAATATATGAGCCGATCGCCCCTTGAGAAGCGTCTTCCCTCAAACTGTTTCACATTTATATGGTATCAGCCCTACATCCTAAAACCTAGCTTCCGCCGCCACCAAAACCCTCAGCCACCGCCGTCATCCTCCCTCCGCGCCGCTGCAGCTCCTTCCTCCTCCCCAGGCCGCCGCCATGTCGACCTCTGCCTCCACTTCCTCTACACTCGGGGGCCTCCACCTCATCGACGCTCGCGACGCAGACCGCCGGGGCCATGATCCCGTCCATCGCGTCGCCGGCGTCCCAGGCCATCCATGTCGCCAACGTCAAGACGCATGTCCCCGTCGTCCTCGACCTCCAGAAGTCCAACTACGCCAAGTGGCGTATGCTCATCACCGTCCTCCTCGGCAAGTACGACCTCACCGGCCACATCTCCGACCTCACACCGCCGGATGCCCGCTCGGCGGACTGGCAGCATCAGGACTTCGTCGTGCGCTCGTGGATCTACGGCTCCATCAGCGAGGACATCCTCGACACAATCATGGCCCAAGATCAGACCGCGTACGAGGCCTACGCGCTGATCCAGAACCTCTTCCTCGACAATCAGCTCACCCGGGCCGTCTACCTCGAGGCGGAGTTCCGGGCCCTCGTCCAAGGCGACCTCACCATCACCGCCTACTGCCATCGCCTGAAGGCCCTCTCCGACGCGCTCGCGGACGTGGGGCAGCCCGTGACCGACCAAACCCTGGTCATCACCTGTCTCCGGGGGCTCAACCCCCGCTTCTCCGACATCACCACCCTCGTCACGATGCAGGTTCCGGCCCCCACCTTTCTGCAGACTCGCTCCATTCTTCTCCTCCGCGAGAACCAGCTCGCCAACACCGCCCCGGGCGGCCCATGCCGTCCCAAGTCGCCCTCTACGGCAACACCACCGGCTCCTCCACCGGTGGCAATTCCGGCGGCAATGGCGGCCAAGGCGGCCGCTGGCCCAAGAAGAAGAAGAACGTCGGCGGGAGTGGCGCCAACTCCAACCATGCCTACCCTGCCGCCGCGTCCGGACCATGGATCTACTTCAACCCCTACACCGGGCAGACACAGCAGATGCAGCCCACCTGGCGCCCCTACGACGCTCCGGCTGCTCCCGCCGGGGGTGCCGGCCTCCTCGGGCCAGCCCCGTGGTCCACCGCCCCGGCACCGCCATCCCGTCAGTCCACCTGGGTACCCCCTGGCCAGGTCGCTTACACGACCCAGCTGGCGCCCCTGCATGGCCAGGCATGGGGCACCAACCCGCCTCCACCCGCGGTGCCCTACCACCCTGCCGGCTTCGCCCCGGCTCCTGCATGGGACTGCTCCGCCCTCGTCGCCGCCCTCAACGCCACCGCTGGGCCCTCTGCCGCCGGCTCCTCCACGCCGGGTGCTTGGGTGATGGATTCCGGCGCCACCTCACACATGGTCTCCGACCCCGGTATACTCTCCACTTCCTCCCATCCTCCTCCCTCTCTTCGAGTCACTGTCGGCAATGGTGTTCCCCTTCCTATCACCGCCACCGGCCACGTCACTCTCCACACACCTAGTCACACATTTTATCTCAACAATGTTCTCGTTGTTCCAGATATTATCAAAAATCTCCTTTCTACTCGTCAATTTACAATCGATAATTCTGTTTCTGTGGAGTATGACCCATGTGGTTTTTCTATTAAGGATCTGCACACTCGGCACGAGATCATTCGCTGCAGTAGCCCCGGACCGCTCTACGAGTTCAACGCCAACACCAACCCCACCACCTCCCCGTTTGGACTCGTCGCCACCACCACCACATCGGAGCTATGGCATCGTCGCTTAGGACATCCCGGTCGTGACTCTATGTCATATTTATCTTCAACATTTGCTATTCCATGTAATAAAAGTACTCAAGTGTGTCATGCATGTCAACTTGGCAAGCACGTGCGTTTACCCTTTTCTAGATCATCAACAGTTTGTGTTGCTCCGTTCCAATTACTTCATTGCGATTTATGGACCTCACCTGTTGCTAGTAATTCTGGTTTCAAATATTACCTTGTCATTGTTGATGACTTCTCTCATTTTATGTGGACGTTTCCCCTTCACCGAAAATCCGACACATGTGATATTCTCATCAACTTTGTTGCATACGCACGCACACAATTCAACCTCCCCGTCATATCCTTCCACACCGATAATGGTACCGAGTTCGTTAACTCTACCTTCATCGAGTTCCTTGCACGCAACGGTATACACCTCCGCATGTCCTGCCCATACACCTCCCCTCAAAACGGCAAGGCCGAACGAGCACTTCGCACGCTCAACGACATTACCCGCACCTTGCTGTTCCAAGCTTATATGCCCCCTGCGTACTGGGCCGAGGCCCTTGCCGTCGCAACCTTCTTGCTCAACCGTCGTCCTAGCCAAGCCTTGGACTTCCGGATCCCGTATACCCTCCTCTATCAAAAACCCCCCTCCTTCTTCGACCTCCGTGTCTTCGGGTGCCTATGCTACCCTAACCAGTCCGCCACGGCACCTCATAAACTCGCCCCTCGCTCCACCGCATGCGTCTTTCTTGGGTACCCTGCATCGCATCGCGGCTATCGGTGTCCCGACCTAACGACACACCGCATCATCATCTCACGACATGTCATTTTTGACGAACACACCTTTCCTTTCGCCACCACTTGAACCACTCAGTCTCCGGACGATCTCGATTTTCTTCTCGACTTGGTCGCCACGCAGCCTGCTCCCGCGGTCGTCGTGCCTCCCGCGGGCCAGCCCAACATGGCGCCGGCCTCCTCGGCCCAGCCCGCCATGCATGGCTCGGGGCCTTCCACCCCGACGTCGATCGCCACAGCGCCCGCCTCACCCGCGCCGCTCTCGTCTGCGTCACCACCCCCGTCCCCCTCTCCACCACCACCACCACCCCCTTCTCGTCGCTCTCGCGACAGCACCGCCTCCACCACCAACACTCACACCATGCTCACTCGCGCCAAGTGTGGTATTTTTCAGCCCATTAATAAACTTAATCTCTCGGCTGAACACTCCTCTCTCTCTCTCCTATTCCCAAAACATATCGCTCTGCTCTCCAGGATCCTCTTTGGCGTGCTGCCATGACTGGGGAGTACGATGCTATCCTTCAGAACCGCACTTGGACTCTTGTTCCTCGACCGGTTGGTGCTAACATTGTTTCAGGAAAGTGGATCTTCAAGCACAAGTTTGGTGCTGACGGTGCTCTCGCTTGGTACAAGGCACGGTGGGTGGTCCGTGGATTCTCGCAGCAGCCTGGCATTGACTACGACGAGACCTTCAGTCCCGTCGTCAAGCCGGCCACGATCCGTGTTGTGCTCAGCATCGCCGTCTCACATGCTTGGCCGGTTCATCAGCTGGACGTCAAGAATGCCTTCCTCCATGGCGATCTCGATGAGGTGGTCCACTGTGAGCAGCCACCCGGCTTCATCGACCCTACACGTCCTCACCATGTCTGCCTGCTCCACAAGTCACTCTATGGACTCAAGCAGGCGCCCCGCACGTGGTACCAGCGGTTCTCTCATCACGCTCATCGACTGGGCTTTGTGGATTCTCAGAGCGACGTGTCTCTGTTCGTGCTCCGGCACGGCTCTGAGATGGCCTACCTGCTCCTCTACGTGGACGACATCATCCTCACCGCGTCCAGCGCCGCGCTTCTCCAGCACATCACCGACCAGCTTCACCGGGAGTTCTCCATGACCGATCTCGGGGACCTGACTTACTTCCTTGGGATCTCGGTCTCTCGGTCTTCTTCCGGGATGCTTCTCTCGCAGCGGCAGTATGCCATCGATCTTCTTCAGCGCGCTGGCATGATGGACTGCAACCCGTGTGTCACGCCCATTGACACCCGTTGCAAGCTCTCCGCCGACGAGGGTCCTCTCGTCACCGACGCCACGGAGTACCGGAGTTTTGCCAGGGCCCTTCAGTACCTGACGCTCACTCGCCCCGACATTGCACATGCTGTTCAGCAAGCGTGCCTCTACATGCATGCTCCCCGGGAACCTCATCTCAACCTTGTTAAGCGGATTCTTCGCTATGTTCGGCACCCTCGACCTCGGTCTATAGCTCCACTCCACACCGGCCGCCTCGCTCACTGCATACTCTGATGCAGATTGGGCCGGCTGCCCCGACACTCGACGATCTACCTCTGGCTACTGTGTCTACCTCGGTGATAACCTGGTGTCTTGGTCCTCCAAACGCCAGGCCACGGTGTCTCGCTCCAGTGCCGAGGCCGAGTATCGCGCCGTGGCCCATGTCGTGGCTAAGTGTTGCTGGCTTCGTCAACTTCTCCTCGAGCTTCATCGTCCTCTTCCATCCGCCACCGTTGTCTTCTGTGATAACGTCAGTGCTGTTTACATGGCATGTAACCCGGTCCAACATCGCCGCACGAAGCACATCGAGATCGACATCCACTTCGTCCGCGAGAAGGTGTCTCTCGGTCAGATTCGGGTTCTTCATGTGCCATCCTCACAGCAGTTTGCCGATATCATGACGAAGGGCTTACCGACTCAGCTCTTCTTGGACTTTCGGTACAGTTTA